GAACGCTTCTTTCAAAACCTTCCTCCTTTGTTTGCATACAGCAGAATCTCCCATTTTTATTATTATCTTTTCATTCATAGCAAAGAAAGTCCCCGAGCTCAGGTACAATTTTGTGTCACCATACCCAACTACAGTTACCAATTCAAGACTAGAATTTACTATCCATTCTGGTGTGCTGAACATGAAGGAGTGTTTCTTTTTCCACAGAATACAGATATTTAAGGCTCACTCCAAGCTGATCCTGAGCAAAGTCAAATATAATACTCTCTTCTGTTTATCCAATCAATAGCTGTGAAAAACTCCTGGAGTTTTGCCATGGTGATCAGGGCAAAGATTATTGGGCAAGGAATTTAATAAAGTTTGTTTTTCTAATTTGTTTCATGATAGAGAAATAGTTTGAACAAAGTATCACAATGTTTTTATTTTTTCTCTCCTCTTCCATCCCATACAATTATCTCTCTCTCTTTCTCTCTTTATATATATATATATATATATATATATATATATATATATGAAACTACTACTATTACATATACACTGCTACACATATATGTATTATATAGATGACTATAATTGCATATGTATTTATGTATTAAGCTACTATTAGGCATGTAAGTGGGTTGAAGAGAAGCTCATTTTTCTTTATGTTACAAGACTAAACACTCAGGGAACCTGTTTAAGGGGTTTTGATTGATTTTGACTATATATAAAGAAAGTACTTTGGTTCTCTATAAAGTCTACCCAGATTCAAACAAATATTTGATTTTTGGTGCACTTTAAATTTTTAAGTAAAGAAAGCAAGCATATAATTAGGCTTCTTTCCCTTGTGGCCCAAGGCAAGGCTCATACCAAGATATTCCAAAGTTCTGGAAGTAATTACAACTTGCTTGTCTGTGCACTGTGGCTGTGGCTGCTTTGACTGTACCTCCGATGACAGTGTCTCAGTAAAACACAAAGGAAGCAGAATTCTCCAGAAACAATGGAGAATATCAAAACTGAGATGTTTAGTCATATGTAGATCAATATGTGACCTTACAGATTAACTGATCATGAATGTTGGTATTATATTCAGTTAGGACACTCAGGGATTAAGTTCTAAGCAAAAGGGAAGGCTATTCAAATACTTCCAAGGCCACTTCTAGTGTCTTATTTTGGACATCACTTCCTAAAGGCAAGGAGTTAAAGAAATTAAATGAAAGTCAGGGTTGCATGTGTGTGTGTTGGGGATAAAAGCTCTACATTGTATTGCTTGTTTATCCTGTATGCATTGTGCACACTGTAGCTAATGAGCTTAGTGCCTAAGTTGTGTGAAAGACTTTCCTTGGGGAGATACAGAATATATTTCTCCTCACCCCAAATAGGGAGCCCACAAAAAAATGAAAGTGCAGATACCACCAAAGTCCTAATGTTTAAAAGGTGAGTTTTGAGTGTTGTTGGGGTTGTCTGCAATAATGTGAATGAGGGACTACTTACAGGAGCAGAAATGACTCAAAGACAGCAGGCATCCCTGCTGGTCTTTGTTTCTTCCAAACTGCTAATTTGTCTCTGCTTTTTCCAAGCAACCGATCTTGTTCCAGTGTTTGTAGCTTGTTCTTACTTGGAAGTTTTACTGTTTATTCTTAGGGAGGGAGGATCCTAGAGAATCTAGTCTGTTTCAGGGACCTCTTCATTGTTTGTTTGATTTTTGGGTTTTGTTTGTTTGTTTGTTTTTTGAGACAGTGTTTCCCTGTATTGTTTTGTAGCCTGTTCTGGAACTCACTCTGTAGACCAGGCTGGCCTCGAATTCTTAAGTTCTGGGATTACAGGCATGACCCACCAACGCCGAGCTTCAGGTACTTCTTGAAGTCCTTCTGAGTTATTTACTCAGATAGGTTGCTTCATTCTCAGAAAACAAAACAAAGCAAAAACAAAAACAAACAATGAACAACAACCTGAAGCTCAGAGCAGGTGCCTGAATAGCCTTAGGAAGAGGAAGAATTTCCTTTAGTTTATCCCATTATCACCCATTTCAATGCAATGACAATAAGTCCAAAAGTAGGCTTGTCACCAATACTTGCCCATTGTCCTCTTCATGTACTCCTTCATGTGCAGGAAATGTGGCCTAAGTACTCCATCCTTATTGTACTGTAAGGACACTTAAAGGAAGATGAGTGGATTCAATGGACACAGGAACAGTTGTGCTTGTTTAGAGGCCATGGATCCACCCAAAGCCTCATAATTACTACATAATTTACATTACTGAATTTTCTTTTGTTGTTGTTGTTATTTGCTTTTAAGAAAGAACTCTATTCTGGCTACTCTTATTGGCCTATAGTAAAGTCAATTAGAGATTTTAAATTCTTTTTTTCAATAAATGTTCACTGTTGCTCATGTATTTCTTATGTGCTCGAATAAATAGGCACTGCCCATCACAATGGCCTTCTCCCTGAGCACTCCTCAAAAGCTTCGTATTATTCTTTAACTTTGGAATGTTTCCACAACATTCTGGGATTTACAAATTGGTGGGGTTGTATTAGCTCACTAGTCTCACCAGTACAAGGGATAATCCAGAACTTCAGATTACATGAGATCCAGATCCTCCATGTCTCTTATGGAGTTAGTACTTGTTCAGGCTCTTTGTCTTCATCTGTTACAGTTCCACTGTTCATTTTTCTTTATATGCTAAATTCACATCTGAATTTTAACCATTCCATTTGTACTTTACAGAATCAATTACTCTCCAGCAACAGAGACAATTTAATAAAAGATATAGAAATAGCATGCATGTGAGATACTTTCCTGTCTTTGTACAGTAATGACTATTCACCAGTGTCTTCTGTGATTATGTCAGCATGCCAGAGAACATGAATATTTCTGTTATTCTTGAGTTTTAAAAGGCTGTGTAAGATCCATATCAGCGCAGGACCCCCAAAACTAAGTTTTCAGCACAAAGGTGATTTACTTGATCCAAAGGGAGAAAGAACAGTGGATAAGAAACAAAGACTGGAGAAGGAAAATAAAGGAGAAGGGGATGGAACATGGGAAAGGGAGAAAGAGTATTTGTCTCAAAGGGAAAAAGGACTGCCTCTGGATAGAGAGGAGATGGGTGTTTATAAATGTAAAAGAATAAACCTTAGGTTAGGATGTGGTATTTCATTTTTATTGGGCATGTTAATTAGGTTAGCCAAAGGGGAGATTTTGATTGCTGGACTTCAGTACTTTTATAGCTGGACATTGGTAGTTAGCCCCAGGAGAAGGAAGTAGCCAAATGAGGGAATAGACATTGATGGCTAGTTTTAGAAATGTAATCTAACAGTTTCAGCAAGGCAGAAGGAATAACGAGGAAGGGCAAGCCCTTTAGGCTGAGCTTTTGAATTATTTTTTCTTTCTTTGAGACGTACTGGCCTTAAATGGTTATGGAACTGAAGATGAACCTTTTGAAGCTCTGATCCTTTGCCTCTCATGTACAGTCATTGTAGGTGTGTGTCACCACACTTGCCTTACAATCTTAATGTGCTTAAATGAAATATTATGATTGGTATTTCATTTACTCTTACATTTTTCAAACCTAAGATTGCTATCTTGTCACTTCAACAAACGGTAAACAAATTCTGTGTGTGTGTGCGTGTGTGTGTGTGTGTGTGTGTACACATGTGTGTGTATTCACAGGCTGTAGTATGCATTATAAGGAACTCAAACAATTGTAGCTACATAAAACATGTTGATAAGGGCTGAGTACTGGGGGACACGTCAGAGACGGCCTTGTAAAAAGGTAGAATCTGGTCTGGAAAGAAGAGTAAGCCACACAAAGAGAAGGCAAAAGAATATTTAAATCCAAACAGCTGCACACATAAATATTTAAATCTGTGTGGTCTGATACCTGCCATGACTAAATAAGATGCAGAGTGTGTTTGCATCTAATATTCTCTCTTTTGCTTCCATTAACCCAAATATCATTTGACATGTGTCTAGGTCAAAGTCAGACTGAGTCTTGGTGTCTGATGAGATTTAATAAATTGTCATTTAAATCCGAAGACTCTGCTTATTAACTATTTCTACAGGCGGTAAATCACGTGAAAACTTTTCATTGGAAATGTTGCCAAGGAGACAAGTCTGTGTTCTCCTTTAAGAAATGTGTTTGTAATGGGGAACATTACCCAACCTCTGGCCGAGCTGTTGTGGCACAGGGTGTGTGGGTAGAAGAGGGGCTGGGCAGGAGAATTTGGAGGGATAAACAATTGCTTCTTTGAGGACAGAGAATGAGATTTACATTTGTTGTAGAGATTCAGAAGGGAAAGCATAACTGAGAATTGGTGCCAAGATAGAATCAAGCGTGTAGCCATCTCGGGCAAAAATCACCAGAGGAGTGAGTGGGTTACTAGGAACTCATAGCTGATTGCTTATTTTTCAATTTGCTTCAGACCTCTCATCATGAACATACAGCACTGGGTCATATTTTATTCATATTCAATTGACTCACTAAGTTAAAATGTACTTACGTGAGTAAAAATTTTAATGTGTGGGACTTCATACCATTGAATTCTGAAGGGCTAATGATGCTAATTTTGGTTATTATTCCAATTACCCTATTTTTAATTTTGTCAGAGAGAACTGCATGTTGTGTACAACAGTGAATGCAATTGCTCCCATTTGGGGACATAGACTACTGGCTGTGTCTGCTTGGAGAGAGGTAGCAGCCCTGACTGTGCTGACCTCGTGGCCTCTGGTTTCACAGTCTCAGGTTGTTTCCTTGGCAACTGGGAGAAGTTGAACTTTATAGTTTGTGAGGAAGTTTGCAATGGAATTTCAATCTGAAAGTTACAAACAAGATTCTATCACAAGGGACTATGAGGCTATGTCTATCTGCTGAAGGGGAGTGAAAAGCTGCAGTTATCAGGGGAGAAACAGAGGACTCAGCTTCTTGTGGGGTAAAAGGAGCAGATATAAGCATCATGGAGAGAATGTAACTAAATCCAAAACAGTTCAAAATACCCAATTTCTCTTTTCTTATGAAATATTACCTCCCTATGACTGGCAGAAGAATGATCAATGATGACCATTTTACTTTCATAGGATGTGGACATTGGAGATAGACGACTGCAGTGTGCATAGTGAGTGTACTTAGGATGCTAAAATCACACAGAAGAAAAACACAAATACTGTCACAGCCAGGTTATAAAGAGAGGATATCTTGAGCCCTTTTAAGTCAACGTCTGTTATGATTTACTCCCAATTCTAGCACAAAGAACCACTGAAGTGAAAAGCAAAGCAACCATTGACATTGTCCAATATGACAGAACTAAGGCAACTCCATTCTAGCAGCTACCCATATACCAGGGCTTTGAAGTTGGTTTCTGGATGTAATTTAAGTGCAGGACAGGAGCAAAGCCCATGGCATGACAGTACCACAAATCTGAGCTGTTAATGAGTGGAAAAACCCACAATCACTGTCATATAGTAGCATATATAATAAAACCTCAACCTAAGCATAAATGTATCAAAATATGATCTCCAAAATAGGTTTCTGAATACCTACCTTTCAAATTGGTACTAATACTAGAGACATTGTAGTTTTCAGTGATGCATGCATACACTTGCTACAAATTAGTTTTTCAATTAATAGAGATTTTGATTCATATATCTGTTTTTCTTCGTAACTCAATGCCTGTTGATTTGATAGATCCTATGTACCAAATGATAGAATGTAGTTTTCTTACCCAGTTCGCACCTGCAATTTTGCTGAGAAAAAAAAAAAAAAATGAGCTTTCTCTGAGCATTTTTTTTCAAGATTCAATTTACATGGAATCCAGTATGTGTTCCTATCAGTTGTTCTTGTCCTACCCTTACCTCTCTAATACTTGCCTGCATAAAATTAAAAAATTAACATAGCCATATATTAATTTTAACAGTGGATTTTAATGTAAAATATAATTAGTGGAATTTTGAGGATAGCCATGGCAAATTGCAATGTTTAACTGGGAAAAGTATACGTGGAAATCAATTCAAGTTGGTCTTTCACACATGTAAGATAGATGTTTGATACAGCCTAACTGTCAAAGACTTTCTTTTCCTGATCACCCCAGTTTAGTACTTGCTGTTCCTTTTTCTGTGAATGCCTTCAGAGAGTCCCTTTTGTTTCCTTCACAGGAACAGAGGTACCTCATCAAGAATATCCCATTCAATGACTACTGATATTGTGTGAACACTTGTCTGATTCTAAATGGTAGCACTCTGTAGTTATCTGTTACATTATCCCATTTATGTTGTAAGAATAAATATTACGTGCTATCTAGTAACCAAATGGCTTAGGAGAGGTTTTGCAGATTTCAGAAATTTTCAGAGTTTGAAAGGATTGCATATACACAACACATGATTCCTATATGTCTCTTAAAGATGACTTTTAGAAGTATTTTTAAAGATGCTTTTATCTATTCTTTGGTTGAGAGGTATCTAGGTTGCTTCCAGGTTCTATTACAAATAATGCTGCTATAAACATAGTTGAACAGATGCCCTTGTGGAATGACTGTGCTTCCTTTGGATATATGCCTAAGGAATTGCTGGATCTTGAGGTAGACTGATTCCCATTTTCCTGAGAACCACCATACTGATTTCCAAAGTGGCTGTTTAGGTTTGTATTCCTACCAGCAATGAATAAGTGTTCCCCTTTCTCCACATCCCCTTCAGCATAAACTGTTGGCATTTTTTATTTTAGTCATTCTGACAGGAGTAAGATGGTATCTCAGAGTTGTTTCAATTTGCATTTTACTAATGGCTAAAAATGTTGAACAATTTCTTAAGTGCCTTTTGGCCATTTGAGATTCCTCTATTGAGAATTCTCTATTTAGATCTGTACCCCATTTTTAAAAATTGATTATTTGGTGTTTTGGTGACTAGCTTCTAGAATTATTTGTATATTTTGGAGATCAGCCCTCTGTCAGAAATGGGGTTGGTAAAGATCTTTTCCCATCTTGTAGGCTGTTGTTTTGCCTTGTTGACTGTGTCCTTTGCCTCACAAAAGCTTCTCAGTTTCAGGAGGTACTATTTATTAATTGTTGTTCTCAGTGTTTGTCTTAGTGGTATTATGTTCAGGAAGTGGTCTCCTGTGCAAATTTATTCAAGGATACATCACACTTTCTCTTATGTTGATTTCTTTTTTTATCTATTTGGACTTAAGTTGGCTATAGATATTGATCTATCTGTAATCTTCTACATGTCAGCATCCAGTGATACCAGCAAGGATGACCCCAGCTAAGAATCTAAGCAATAGTGGAAAGGCTGCCTTAAATGCCCTTCCCCTATAATGAGACTGATGACTGCCTTAAATGCCATCCTAGAGCCTTCACTCAGTAGCTTATGGAAGCAGAGGCAGAGATCCACAGATAAACACTGAGCCAAACTCCTGGAAAAACAGTTGTAGAAAGGGAGGAGGGATGAGAAAAGGGGTCAAGACCATTCTGGGGAAACCCACAAACACAGCTGACCTGAGCAAGTGGGAGCTCATGGACCCGAGACTGACAGCTGGGAAACCATCATAATACTGAACCAAGCCCTCTGAATGTGGGTGTCAGTTGTGGGGGCCTGGACAGTCTATGGGGTCTCTGGCAGTAGGACCAGTGTTTATCCCTAGTGCACAAAGGATTTGTGAGCCCATTCCCTATGGAGGGATAGGCTCTCAGCCTAGATACACAGGGCAGGGCCTAGGTCCTGCCCCAAATAATGTGACAGACTTTAATGATTTCCCCATAGGAGGCCTCACTCTTCCTTAGGAATGGGTGGGGGATGGGGAATTGTTGGGGGGAATGGAAGGATGAGAGGGGGGGGACTGTGATTGGTATGTAAAACAAGATTGTTTTTAATGAATAAAATTTAACTTAATCCTGGCAGTGGTATGGTGGCATATGACTTTAATCCCAGCACTCCCAGCAGGTAGATCTCTGTGAGTTTGAGACCAGCCTGGCCTATAAGAGCTATTTCCAGGACAGCCTCCAAGCCACAGAGAAACCCTGTCTCGAAAAACAAATCAAAAAATAAAAAGTAACTTAAAAATTATTTTATACATTATTTTTTATTTAAATTAGAAATAAGCTTTTTTTTTTTTCATGTCAATCCCAGTTCCCTCTCTTTCCCCTCCTCCTCACCAATCCCCTATCCCACTTTATTTCTGCTCCCCAGGGAGGGTAGGGCCTTCCACAGGGCATCTTCAAAGTCTGTCACATCATTTGGGGCAGGGTCTAGGCCCTCTCCTCTCTAGGCCAAGAGAGTATCCCTCTTTGTGGAATGGGCTCCCACAGTCTCTTCATATAATAAGGATAAATACTGATCCACTAAAAGAAGCCTCATAGATTGCCCAGGCCTCAAAACTGACACCCACATTCAGGGGGGCTGGGTCGGTCCTTTGCTAGTTTCCCAGCTCTCTGGGAATTTTATACAATATTTTTTAATCCGTGCATTAACTATAGCCTGTTACCCGAGAGGAGCTGTAAGATTTTACCCTTGTAGCAGCATTGTAAATCTCAGATTTTGAAGTATTTTAGATTTTTAAGTTTTAGATTAGGGACCCTCAATTTGTATAAGGAAGATAGAGGAAGTTGGAGGATATGCTTCATAGAAATTCGGTGTTTTGAGTGGGCCCTTTTTCCCACTCCTTGCAAGCTTGATAATCAATATTCTTTCCTACTGCAGAGTTCTTGGACCAAACTTCTGTATAAACACCCACAGACACACATTTAAAGGGGAAATCTTTGTATCTGAAATAGAAGGTCATGCAGATCATTTTAAGGTCAATTATTCCCTGTAGTTTGGCAAAATAGACATTTTGAGAATTTTAATACATTTAATACACTCTTGAAGATGATCCTTTCCATCATTATGCAAAGTTATTTTTGTTCTCTCCAGTGTCATTCTTAACTTCCAGACTCTGCCCTTTGGCTTCATTTCTCATAAGACAACAGCAAATTAATGGCTTAACAAACAAAATCATAGCTTTTCTTCCTTGACTCAATGTAGAGACAGCTCAGTTATGCTAGAAAAGCCTATTGGAAGATGGTGTGAGACAATTCAAGCCACTCAGGCTTTCTCAGGCTCCTGTGTTGAGTTCTCTGACCTGGGGAAATATTTAGTGCCTACTGCTGACTTTGCTTCCTCGCTGAGACCATCTCAGGAATTTATGAAAAATCACTGGGGTATTTTACTACTCTAGTTTGGTGCTTGAAACCAAAATGTTATGGCAGTGTTGGAGGCCCTCTGGAATTTTCCATATAAAAGTTGCAGAGGTTTAAGAATGATCCGGATCACAAATTTTTGATCCTAGACTTTTGCCCAAACTCTCATAGCTGTTTGTAAATATTTGATTCTGATTGCTTCTGCAACTCACTCTTCAACTTCGTGATTGACAAGATTAGTTCTTATGCCATCAGCTGGGTCATTGTCCTCCTGCTCTGAATTGCTGTTTCCAACAACTGTTTTACTTTGTCTTAAATGTGAAAAGGATAGTACCCTCTGCCACTTCCCAAGTGTGTGTGTGTGTGTGTGTGTGTGTGTGTGTGTGTGTACAAGCACACACACGTCTGTTATTCCACACCCAGACCAGCTACCCCAACATTATCTGTACAATTCAGCTTAACCAGTGGAGTTTACACACATTTTAATTGTGTTCCTGGGATTTCTGGGTAGCAGCAATGTGTCTAGTAAATAGTGTCCATAAACCAGCAGAGATTTGTGGTTAAGTGAGTCTCTTGGCTTTTCTTTCTATACCTTTAAAGATGATGTATCTTGCTCTTTCCCTAGCCTTGTCTCCTAGCTCCAGTGGTGTGGACTTTAGTAAATCCTATTCCTCCACTTCTTTTTAAGCTGCCATTATGTATGTCTCCTGGGTTTACTTATCACTTTGCTTGCCATTCTGAGAATTTCAGTGCTTTAGATTGCTCACTATGGACCTTTCTTTTTAATTTTCCTGAAAATATTAACCTGGTTTTTAATCTTGCTTCCAGTTGGTTGTTATGTGACTTATACAATGCAGTTTATTGAGCAGCTGCTGTGGGTCCTAATATTTTCAATTTTTTTTCCAAAGGTGTACCTTGTTACCCTTAGCTCTCTGGGTTTGTCATGAGTAGACAGGCTAAATATAGGCTTTGCTACTGAATTCTACCTTAATACAAAAAGTACTACAGCTATTCCTTAAGAAGATTAATGTTCACATGTTTTTATTACCATGAGCTTTTATTTGCAGGAAAGAAAAAGATAATTATTTTCATATGGAATAGATAAAATTCTAAATGAAGCTTAAAGATATTTGACATAATGTGGAATCCACTGAGTAGCATAAAATGTCTACTTGCAATTTCTTTCTTTAGATGCTTTAGAAACTATAAAAATGTATGCCTTTACTAAAACTCAGTGAGTAGCCAATATCATGTGGCAGCATTCCCTTGATCCCATTCATGTCACTGACTTATATTAATCCTTTAAGTGCATATAGACTAAGTCTGAAATCAAGGGATTAAAGGATTAGCTATGATAGTTTTGCATATAAAAATAATCCATAAATAAAATCTGCAATATCCAAGTAGTCATAGTAGGAACTAAATCTGTTTACTATCCAGGAAGATGGAGTGAATAGAAAATGATATAGCTCTCAGAATGATGCATGGAATTTTTCATTAATATTTTGTTGATAATGAAGAAGAAAGATACACAGCCATATTTCTAGAGGAAATTCTGCATGGAGTGCTTGGGCACAT